GAGTGAAAACTATGAGGAGTTGAAATTATAAATATTGAATTAAAATTAATGTAATGTATAAAAAATAATTAATATTATTCGATTATATGGATAATATTGAGAATAATCAAAATTGAGCTGGATATTGAGATAAAAAAAAATTATGATCTCATAATTGAATATTTTATATCCAAACACTAAATAAAATTTTGCAAAGAAAGTGAAAAAAGGTGGTATTTTTGTCTGCAAAATAGCACGAAAATATATATTTATTTCAAAGTGAAAACGGGGAGATGAATAGCGATTAGCGGGAAGATCACTGGCAAAACGACGTAGAAATTATTCGTGTGGCACCTCTTCTTCCCAACATAGAAATCAAATTCCCTCCAAAACATCGGACCGAACACCAAGTCAAGTGTTTTTTTTCTAAACCTCAAAATATTTAACAAACGAGGCATATCTATTATCTATCTAGAGCTAGAAAACCTTGTCCCAACTATTTTGGAGGGCTCTTGATAGTGGCCATGGTGATGGGTTCCGCTACTGTTTCCAATCGGAGTATATCTGAAATGGAGAGAGTTAAAAAAGGAAGCAAGCTCCAGAAAAATGGTGTTACTACTTCGCCTGCAAAAAGGAATAAAACCCCTGAGATCCAGGTCGTGGGTGCCCGGATTTATGACCCCATCAATGGAAAAACTTGCCATCAGGTGCTCGGTCTCATTCCAAGAAAACCCCTATTTGACTGATATTTAATTGGTAGCTGTTTTTTCCCTAAATTTGTCTGACGTTGGTTATTTATGTTTCTTTGTAAGGCAAATGGGCTGCATGCAAGTAACTTCTTTTATTCATCTTTTGATGATATAAGTATCTATGACGAGCTAGAGATGAATTGGGTGTTTATGTTTGGAAAGTCATGACTATTGTCTATTGTTTATGTTTATGAATTGGGTATTTATTCCCTAAATTTTCTTTGACCGTCCAGTTTCATATTAATCTGTTGTCTATTGTCTTGTCTGACCGAGAAGAAGAGTATGACTCTTTATTGTTGAATTGGCTAGTGAACTCTCAATTTACCAGAATAAAATAAAATGTTTTCCCCCTTCATTTTCCTTCATAAATTCCTTTTTGTCAATGCAGTCATGTAAAGCCGAACACTTCATATGGAAAAGGCTCATGGTTCGATGCGCTTAAGAAATGCTTATCCGAATCTACAAGCGTGCTCCGAGCTCTGGGACTAGATTCTTTTGATAAAGCAGCTGATTATGAGGCTTCAGGAGCTTCAGATAAGCTTAAGCTCTTGAACATTCTATGTGATGAAGTTCTGGAAACTGAATAAGTACCCTTTTTCCATTTCGAATAATTTTTTGTTTCGTTTTTAATTAGGTTATATTGCTGTTTGTTCCGGCATTTGTAGAAAGTTGAGGGAATGGATGGAGATACAAAAGAAAATTCATGCTGAGAAGGTCAGAGAAGCTAAACAAAAAGTTGTTGCTGTTAAGGACATGGTAAATATACATTTCAAATAGCTTTCCATTGTGGAACTGAAGCTGCTTTTATATTTTTGGTTTTCTATTTTGTGCTACCTCTGTCCCGAAGACATAGGCTGATGATTATTTCACACAATTTAAGAATTTGTTGGTTAATACTCTACTTTCTCATAGGCAACTTATTCACAATTGTATTTATTCTTCTTCTTTTGATAATTTGTCTTTCAAGAGCACAATCGAGTATGTGGACTGGGGTTATACAGTAAAAGTAATATTATATAGTTAATAAATTTGGCGATAGGACATTTTATTTGGGACACTTTAAATGGAACTGTGACCTATCTTTTTGGACCCGAGGGAATAATATTTTACATCCATCCATTCAGGAGAAGAATTTAAAGCAGAAAATGCAAAATGATATGGCCAAAGCGGGTATTGCTAAGCATGGTGCTAATCTTTCAATTTAAGAGCACGAAGCGATTGTATCTGATATAAAGCAAGGAACAACACAAGCTCATGCCAAGGTGCTCGAGTCAATGGGCATGCTTTTAAGTAAGTCTTAACACCTTTTCTTCAAGATAACACTATAGGACTCCATTATTTTTGTTGGTAATATTAGGTAGACATGCAATGGTAGTGTTCATTTTTTTACATCTTTAAATAGTTTTTTTTTACATGAACTGGTTTCTGAATTACATCATGCTGTAGATTTGAATTCTGCTCCAATAACACATCTTTTGGAAGTTGTTGCCTCCTCTCTCTCAGTTTGCTTTATTATCAGATAGTGTCGTGTTAATTAGAATGGCAGTGCTCCGATGTTTCTGTTTTTCAGAACCCTAGAGATTGAACATGTTTTTCTAACTTCGGAAAAATCAGAGGAATTATTTATTTTTTAATTCAGGTTGGTTAATCCTTAAAGAAGCTGAATTTGCATTTGAATGAATCAACCTAGAATGAGCTCAAGGTCATGTTGTTTACTTACATGATAAATGATAACATTATTTGTCTAATATCCTTCTTAAACCAAACACATCTGAATTTTATGGAACTTCGTGAATGCAACTCACTAGCATGCCTTTTACGAGTAGTAATACTTGTTTTCTGTTTTTGGTGCATTATTGGTAGATAACAAACCAGAGGTTTTACGAATTGAGCCCATCTTTGCTGGAGTTGGTGGTCATGCATATTGAAAATTGCATTGTATGGAAAAATCTGACCTTGTGCATCAGGGTAAGTGAGGCGAAGCTTGTTCATTTAGTTTCTTTTAGTTGCTGTTGTATTTAGTCTACTTAATTGAATCTATTGTGTTATAGATGCTGGGCAAGGGGATGGGGCTGATACCTTAGATGATAAATGGTTCCTTGTCGATGAAGAAGGAGAAGCTGCTATTGAAAAGTGCATATCTTTGTCAAAGTAAGTTCCAACATCTAATGAGTGACACTTTTTGCACAATTTGATTTCCACATAAGTAAAAAGGCAAAGGGAGAAAAAAAATTAAAAGTTACAAGGAAAAAGTGCTGCTAAAGAATCTTGTTTATTAAGTCAACAATTTTTTATCGGGAAAGAGTTTGACTGAGAAGTATTTACGGTTTTGCTATGAAGCCAACCATAGTGGAGCCAATCTTCTATATACAACAAACAAACCTACCATATTAATAAAATTATATTAATGTTATTTAAGTAATCAGAGTATATGGTAGGTTTACTTGTTGTATATAGAAAGTTGGCTCTACTATGGAGCCAATTATTGGCTCCATAGCAAAACCGAAAGTATTTATTCTTGATGCTGATTTGTTGTCACTTATCTCATTGAGGCCACTTTTTTTTTTATTATTTCTTTTATACTAGTAACGTATTGTGTTTATGTGTTTCGTTTACATTTGGTGAGTCTTGATTTAAATGGAAGTGACACGCTTCCCTACTTCCTCTGAAGCTTTATGCTTGTATATAGGTAATCTCTCTTCAGTTGTACTCTTACCACTTTCCCCACTCAAATTTAGTAAATTCTTTGCATGCAGACATAAATAGGTCAAAGACTCGCTGTTTCTACTGGCAATGCATTCTATAATTGGACTGTTCTTAGACATGCTGAAATTTGGAGAAAGTAATGGTAGAGTATGACATTTGTAGTATTTAGTGGTGCTGGTTCATGCTGCAGACATGGTTGATTATATGACTTGCCTATAGCAGCTGCTACAAGTATTTTTGTTGTCACATTTTGTATTTGTGTAATTTCTGGAAAGGCTTTTGCCTATCCCATATCAGCTATTTAAATGGTTTAGCATACAAAACTTTATAGTTTCAGTATTGGATTTGTTTATGGCTTCATTGATTTATGTTCTCAACAAGTTGAGATTTTTGTTCTTTTGTTGTCTAGCCCTCTTTTCTTCAACCAATTCTCCTTATTCTGCATGTGGACATTCCCAGATCTTTCAAAAGAGGAAAATGAAAAGAAAAGCTCGTGTTAAAGCTAATATATGAAATTTAGATTGAAAGGTAAGAATATTTTTCTTATAAAACTAAAAAGAAAGTAAGAGAATATAGAGAATGTATTTTCTTGGTATGATGTATATTATAAACAACTTTTTTATTTATAGGAAATTTTTTACTACAATTATAAATATGTTAACGCTATTAGAGTTATATTAGAATTTCATCATTTATGTAATCATAAAGTATTTTGAGGTTGGTGGAGATGTTTTAACAACACTTTCATTGAATGATTAGTTATAAAATTTATCTAAACTGATAAGAAAAAAAAAACAAAAACTTATTAATTTGGAACAAAAACTTCGTAGTTGGAACCATCAATCAAGTCTTGTTATATCATGTTGTATCTATGTTAGGAAAACACCATGGAACAAAAAAACTTGATCATTGTGGAATCATAAAGTTGCTTCCTCACATATACTCGTTGAAACCTTGTTAAGAAATTCGTGGGCTAAAGAGAAGTA